AGAGCACCAGGTTGGTTGCCGTTAGGCACACGCGGATCGGACGCGACTTGAGTTACAGTGCCGTTAGGCACAGGTATACTCAGGAAGATGCACCTGGCGGATCTCTGATGTATGAGATGCATTGGAATGAACTCCCCATGGTGGGATACGTCATCATGAAGTTCTCGGACTTTCGGAAGGCGGTTCAGCTCCAAAGGGTGAGGCGCAATGGAAAGGCCATGATCGAGATATTGATCACGAGGCCCGATGTGTACGAGACCATTGGGGATGGTAGGCAGGATGAGGGCCTGATCCCACTTGTGGGAGCCATGGCGCCGGATGCTGAGGTATCGCCTTCGTGGTATGTCAGGGACAGGCTGCGGAACTACTCCGGTAGGTACGTGGTGGTAATGGTGGATCTTCGGGTGCACTGGTCCTTGGTTGGACCCGTGTTTTTGACGAGAAGGAAGACTCTTGCCGTTAGGAACGAGATCCACATGGGAGCTTGGAAGGCGGCGTATATGTACGATGATTACACGATAGTGTACCATCGGGCATGGGACTACGGTGACTTCACCCCCGTTAGGGGAGAGCACAAGCGATCACGGGAAGAGATCAGGCTGAATGTGACTGCCACGTTCTGCTTGAGGTGCGCGGAATTGATGCCGAATGGGATGCACTTGTGTCCCGGGTGCGCGCTCCCGGTCTTTTACCCGAACTTTATCCCCAACGCGGAGGAAAAGGACTTCGAAACGTGCCACATCGTGCCGGAGTGGGTGAGGACCATGGGGCAGTTCAAGCCCAGGAGGATTCCCTCCGAAGTGGTCGGAGTCATCAAGAGGAATTTGATTTCCTATTCGATGGCATCCGATCTAAGGATGACGGTGCAGAGCGGCATCAGACTTCCCCCTTATCTTGGTGAAGACAAGGGAGGTGTCGATGCGGCGTGGGATGAGCTGGCGAAGGTGCTCTTCCAATTCTCCTATGTGTCCGGGATTTCGGCCTCGGATGCGTTTGTGGAGAAGTGGGTGGCGAAGCACCTGATCAAGACCAACCAAGTCGATAGATTTGAGTCGGTCACGGAGTATTTCCGAGCCAATCCAAGACACGCTGCGCAGTGGGGTAGGCGTATGACGACTTCCGTTAGGAAGTTCGCTCGTCATGACACGTACTTGTCATTCTATATCCCGATGGCATACGTGATTGGTTCTGCGGCTGGTCATCTGACCCCATTGTACCCGACCCATCGAAAGGACGTGGACATCCTGGAGAGTCATGCGTTGATGTCGCAGCTCAGGGGGTACATGGTATCGGAGACAGGGTATGATGAGAAGAAGAGGTTGAAGGAGGCGATAGCCAAGGTGCAGAAGGCGATCAATGCCGGACAGTCAGAGCCTCCCGCACCATTCCGTGACCCATTCGTCTACGTTAGCGACGAAAGGGTGAGGACGGTTCTTGACGGTCGTCAACCCGAACCATTGAACGTGGACATCGAGGGACTCCAATCAGTGCATCATGCTGCGCCGAGTCCTGGTCCCAAGCAGGAACCGGTCCCCAAGGGCGGAAAAGGAAAAGGGAAGAAGGGGGAAAAGGGCGGTAAGGGCGGTAGCCCTTCCGGCCCGCCACCAAAGTCAGGTGAAGTGCCGGGTAAAGGATCCGGTAAGGGCGGTAGCCCATCCGTCCCAAAGGCGAAGGATGACGCTGGACCTGCTCCGATGGAGGTTGATGCAGCAGCAGCTCAGCCGAAGAAGTCTTGGGCCGAGATGGTGGTTGAAGGGGCCAGGCCGAGTGCCAAGGCTAAAGTGACCCCGGTTCCCAAGGCAGAGCCGAAAGGGAAGGCTGCTTCGGCATCTGAGGCGAGGAGTGCTCCGGCTCCAAAAGCTGTGGCTAAGGAGACGAAGCAGGCCGAACCGAAGGTTGAGGTCAAGAAGGAGAAGACAGGCGGGGGTGACGCTCCCGGCGGTAGCCGCGGGTCGGCCGAAGGGCAGAAGAGAGAAAGGAAGTCCCGTTGGGATCCCGACGAGGCTGCGAAGGAGTCGACAAAGCGGGAGGCATCCACGAGGCCTGGCGATGTCGACAGCAGACCAGGTGCGGCAGCGAGAGAAGCTAGCGGGGATGATCTTCACTCCGCGCTTGGCAGATCTTCGGCAAAGGATGCGGTAGCGCCTTTGACTGCCTCCAAGGCGATGGCAAAGAAGCCTGAAGGCGGGGAGATCCGGCTGCAGTCTGCTGAGCGGGCTGCGGCGAGCCCGGTGGAGGGTCACTTCCTGGTGCTGCCTGAGAGTTCGGTGGTGGACGCTTTCTTGACGATCTCCACCAACAGAGTGCTGAACAAGCAGGTTAGGGATTTCATCAGAAATGGTGAGGACGCGTCGGCACTGGAAGCTCTCAACCAGATTGTGACGAACTCTCAATCTGGGAGGAGGCGTAGGGAGTCGGATGTTTCCCGTACTCCTTCTCGGAGGTCCGTTAGGACCGTGGACACCAGGGATTCCAGAGAGTCGAGGAGGCGCAGATATCGTCCGCGGCGCGAGGATGATCGCGACAGGAGGAGGGACGATGCTCGTGATCGTCGTGATGATGATTCACTCGATCGGGAGCGGGATCGAAGGCGAGATGATCGCAGGAGATCCGAAAGGGATCGTGATAGGGACCGTGCGCGGGGCGGACGTGACCGGAGGAGACGTGACGATAGCCGGTAGGCTGAGTCACGAGGATTGCGGCCGATAGGCTTGCGTCCGTTCTCCAACGGTCGGCGCGGTGCGGAGGTGGCGATGTTCCTCCCGGACCGCTGAGGCGCGGAGGTCATGTCTCTCCCGTACCGCTGCTGAGCTGCTGGACGTGCTCATCCGGAAGCAGTATGAGTGAGAGGGAAAGCAAACTGATGGGGGGTTACTCCCGGGTTTGCGGAATTCAGGCATTTTTCAGGTACGCATGGTCAGGAGTACCTCTTGCCGTTAGGCGAGGGTACTAATGGACATACGTTATCTTTTATTTCATGGCTTCTGATAAGAATTAAACTTCTTGCATTTCTGATGCAAACAGTTGTGACCTATTGTCGTCATGTGGACTTTTCCACAAGGTATGTTGGACAGCGTTACCCCGATTAATTCGGGGTGGTGGCGGGAATTTAATGCCCGGGATGTCGCGCAACTGCCTTTGTGGGTTTGCTCCACCGCTGACGGCGGTAGTGTCCAGCTGTTTGCGGACGCATGCGAGCAGTTAAATCCTATCAGTAAATGGCACGCTCCACCCGTCATATGACGGGCTCCTCGTGAGGGGGGTGTGATTAGCCATGGTTTATTTCATCACCAGGGATGTCGCGGTAGTGACTGACCTGTGGTGTTTGGCTCAAGTTTTGGATCCGGCGCGCCTCGGATGAGCGTCGCCGGGCCCTCACGTCGACCGCCTTCGTGTCGGAGGAGAAAGAGACTTCGGCCCGGGGTAGGTTGGTGGGGATCGCCCGTGCGGTTCATCGTCGATCTAGGTTGCGGGTATCCTTTTCTTGTTTGGTTTGTTTCCTTTTGGTTGTTGTTCTCTGGTGTGTGGGAAACCCTGATCTTTGGGACCGGGGATTGGTTTGCTTTTGGGGAACCTTTCTTTTGTGGCTTGTTTACCCCAACTTACCCATTGCCTGGGCACAGGCTCGTGCCCGAATCACAAAATGGATGAAATGGAATGAAATGAATGAAATGGAATGAAATGAATGAAATGGAATGAAATGAATGAATGAATGCATGAATGAATGAATGAATCAATGAATGAATGAATGAATGAATGAATGAATGAATGAATGAATGAATGAATGAATGAATGAAATGAATGAATTAATGGAATGGAAAGGAATGGAATGGAATGAAATGAAATGAAATTGAAATGAAATGAAATGAATGAATGCATGCATGCATGCATGGATGGATGGATGGATGGATGGATGAATGGATGAATGGATGAATGGATGAATGGATGAATAGATGAATAGATGAATGAATGGAATGAAATGAAATGAATGAAATGAATGAATGAAGGAATGAATTCATGAATTCATGAATGAATGAAGGATAAAAAATTAAATGAATGAATGAATGAAATGGAATGAATGAAATGAAATGAATGAAATGGAATGAATGAAATGGAATGAATGAATGAATGAATGAATGAATGAATGAATGAATGAATGAATGAATGAATGGATGGATGGATGGATGGATGGATGGAATGGAATGGAATGGAATGGAATGGAATGGAATGGAATGGAATGGAATGGAATGAATGAATGAAATGAAATGAAATGAAATGAAATGAAATGAAATGAAATGTAATGAAATGAAATGAATGAATGAATGAATGAAATGAATGAAATGAATGACTGAATGACTGAATGACTGAATGAATGAATGAATTCATGAATTCATGAATTCATGAATTGAATGAATGAATGAATGAATGAATGAATGAATGAATGAATGAATGAATGAATGAATGAATGAATGAATGAATGAATGAATGAATGGATGGATGGATGGAATGAATGAATGAATGAAGGAAGGAAGGAAGGAAGGAAGGAACGAACGAACGAACGAACGAACGAACGAATGAATGAATGAAGGAATGATGCATAGGAGTGGCATTGCAAGGAGGGAACTCGAAGCCCCGTGCTCGAATGCAATTTGAGCATGGTATGTGGTTGCTTTGCGTGCAGCAGGGAGTCCACGAAAACTTGGACCTGCAGATGCGAGCGACTCTTCTTCCCTGGTGAGTTTGGTGTCTACATTTGATGAGGTGCTGGAGTCGTGTACAAAAATGTGTGCTCTTTTGCGGTGGTGCGTCCCAAATCCCTTGGTTTGTCCCAAGTCTTGGGTGTTTTGAGTTGCGGAAGTTTCGCCCACCCAAAACCTCCTGGCACATGGAAGACCCGACCCCTCCATTGCCCGGGATGTTTGGTCTCAAAACCTGGCTGCAAGGGCCCTAAATTGATCGAATTGGAGCGTCTGGGAGAAGAACTACCGAAGTGAGTCCAGGCCCGGAGCTGGAAAGTGAGCTGGTGACCCAGGTGGAGCTGCCTGAGGCGGGGGGCCAGGGCCTTGGGTTGGTTTTGTCGGGTTTCACTCCAACCGGGAGGAATTTAGGGCCACGGTCTGCCTTTGGGGATTCTCCGTAAAGTGAAAAGAGCAGTAATAGTTCATGGGGATTGTTTTTTTGTTAGCTTCTACTTGCGGGGGTTGTTTTCGCTTCTGACTTGATCATTTTGGCTCCCTTCCAGAACCGCCTTCGACGTCCCTGGTGTTGATAATTCCACAGCCATGAAGCCAGAGATACTCAGTCTCGCCAAAACAGGGGGGTCAAACCAGGACAGCCGTAGATTGCTAGGTCAAGCAAAGGATGCAATCAAAGGAGCTTGACTGGACACAATGTATGAGGTTGCGCGGCAGCCAACTCAAGAAAGAACTGAGGCAACGCAAACTGATCATGCTCAACGACACTCGCGGTTCGCCCACCGCAATAGAGAGAGAGAGAGAGAGAGCAATTGCTAGCAACTGAAACTATCCGGAAGACCACCAACAAGAGAAAGCCATACAGGCAACAGGAAGCACAAGCAACAAAGGCGAGCAGAAGCGCATACAGGCAAGCAGAAGGAAGGCATAGATATCACAAACGGCAAGCAAGAGCAGAAGCAAATTGCTGCTGCGCACTTTCCCTCAACTGCTTGTTCCCTTTACATTGTGAAATATTCAGGTCCAATGACGGCCACATGTTTGTTACCACAGGTGTCACTCATCGCATGCTTGTTTCTATGATGTGCATGCAGTGAAGAAGGTTGGCCATGGAACGGCTTGCTCTTGTGAAGAGCAAAGAAGTAAAGAACACCTCCCGCACTGCTCGTCATGATTTCGCGGATCTCTGCAAAGAACTGTTCCAGACTGATCTTCTACCTTGTCAGCGGACCCATCAGATGGCTCGAATTCGTTAGTTTCAGCCGAGTTGCCCAGAAGTTCAAAAGCATTTGTGTCAAATGTCTTAGGGTTCTGCGGTCAACATAGCGGTTGCCGCCAAGCACTTCAGGAATGACTTGTTGCACAAAGCAGACAACACCCCGGCATTTACTGGATCCAGAAAGAGCCTGGACTCCGCGAGCGCATTGACTGACCCAGGTGTCCGTTTGTTTGATTTGTGCGGGTGTGTCGTTTTGTGGGTGGCAAGCCTGTTGGCAAATGGAGACGAACAGGAAGCCACCAACATTCGTGCCCCCGCCTTTTGGGCCAACCCATATGGGCTCAAAACTCCCTTCTCTCTTTGTGCTTGGTACGGTCGTCATCAACCCTGGGGACTGACCATGCGCGAGCTGAACAGAAGCGCAGACCGATGCTTCTCGGTTTTCAACCGATCTTGACTTCTGCAGCTGAACAAAACAACCTCTCTAGCCCTTGAGCAAAAAGACAACACTCCCAGAAAAGGTAGAACAGCAGCGGTGTGTCACAAACCATCCCTCCCTTGGTGTTTCTGTGCCCGTGCCCGGCAGGAGATGGAGACGAAGTATTTGGAGGTGGAGAGCCAGGGTGCGGATATTGCCCGCCCCCAAGGAAAAAGAGAGCAGGTGTTGGTGGCAATATGATGTGTGATGGACAAAATATCAAACACACTGTACTTTACGGTGGTTTTATGGGTGTGGAAGTGCTGGGGACTAGGCGAAAACACACTTGTTTAGTAAACTTCTGGCAACCTCTCAAGATTCTACAGTAGAACAATGTGTTTTACATAATGTTTTAGACACAATTATGTTGAGGGCCCGAACAATGACATGCTTTATGAACAAGCATCAGGGTTGTTTACCCTCACTTCAGCAAATAGTTTACATATGTTTGTTGCAGATCCAGCTGCATTTGGTCAGCTTCGCCTTGTGTCTCTACTCCTTAGAATTCTCGCATTGTTCTCTTCGTATTCCGCTAGTATGCCCATTTGTTTCTTGAGATTCCCTCATCATTCCCTTTATATTCCCCTAGCATTCCACTATTTCCGTAGTATTCTCTTGCCCCTAGGGTTCACTCAGCACTCCCCCAATATTTCCTTAATAATCTCAAGTATGTCCTCAGCCTACTATTCTCCTACGTAGTATAATTTGATGAAGATATTACATGAGAATTCGTAAGAGAAGAATTCAGTGGTCCAACAAATGTTGAATATTGTGTTAAACTTCAATGTTTACTGACTTGAAAAGACAAATTTTTTGGAAGAGAATCCTGTGGGAATCCTGTGCAGCAATTGATTTCAATTAAGAACAAACAATACTACAATTCCAGTTTAACTATTTCCCACGTATGTCCTTTGTCAGTAATCTCGTAGTATGTTGCTAGGAACTTAGTATACTTTGATAAATATATTAAATAAGAACTCATAAGGGAAGAATTCAGAGGTCCCAAGCTAGTTGGATATTGTGCTTAAATGTTTACCGATTTGAAAGACAAGCCTACTATTGCAAATGGAATCCTGTGGGAATCCTGAGAAAGAAACAAACAACACTAAAACAAACAGTATCTGGGAACGGGGTGGAAGACCGCACCTTGTGAAGACTCTTTGAATGTGGGTGTTTTTGTTGTTTTGTCTTGTTCTTTTTTGTTTTCTCGTCGTTGTTTTTTCTGAGTCGGTCAGTGTCAGATGCGACAGGAACATGTGCATTTCGCCTAGGCGCCAGCGCGTGCACATGCAGACAACCCCGGTTTTTGCAGTGTTTTAGCAAGACTGGCAGCTAAAAATCACATCGCCAGGGGCGCCTCTTCTGCAAGCAAATGGGGGGGAGCCCCTCAGAGATCTCAATTGTAGATCAAGCTTCCCTTTTGTGGGGAAGACGCGCAAAAATGGAATCGGCGGAGCCCCGTCCCCTCCCCATGAATCAATGAAGACAGTGGCTTCAGGACATTGTTTGGCTCTCGAGGGGTGACCGAGGCTTTTCTTGGTATGCTGGTTTACTTGTCATTGTTTGTTGCTGGCTTTTGCTGCAGTTGGTGCCCGCTACTCTGATGTCTATGCTGAGCTGAACTTAGTAGAGGCCAGACTTGTCCCAGGCGCCTGGGGGGGAACCAAATCTTTCGACCGTTGTGGCATTGCCACCGGGGCTTTCACTTTTTGGCGAGGGTTGCAAGCCAATTCGCTGCGTCCGGGGTTTTGCAGCCCTAAAAGGATATGTTTGAAGGGCAGCCCCAAACGTCGCATGTCTCTCTGAAAGTTAGGCTTGCAAAATGGTCGAGCAGCCTCAGCGGCCCTGGGTGTCCCTTTGCCTTTTAAGCCAGTTTATGGTTGAGAGCGAGAGATTCCTTTAGTTTGAGTGTGGTTCTAATCATTTGCATGATTTTCCACAAGCGCGCCTATTTAGTTCCCCGGGCTTGCCCAGCAAGCAGCGGATGTTGAGTCCCAGGTGAGGCTGAGAGATCAGTGCAACTTGGCAGCCGTACACCCAGCCGAGAGCTCGCTGTTTGCTGGGTTGCTGGAAACCAATCCTGAATCCTCATACCAGATCGTAGTGGCTTCCCTCGTTGCAGTGGTGGTCTCAGTATGTATTACGGAGTAGGGATCTCCCCCAGTTTGAACTCAAATTGTTCGGAATGTGCCGGAATAGTTTCGCTACATTTAGAGAAGTCCAGACTCTTGCACCCCTTTGTGGGATTAGCACCCGCACAACGAGTGGTTTTCTCCTGTTCAAACACTTCCAAACGTAGCGGGTACCCCCTAAAAAGGACGTGCATTTTCAGTTTGGGTGGAATGGTTGTGCTGTTGATCCCTTCGACACAAGACCAGAGATGTTTATCTCCTGGACACAGTGGTTGTCTCCAACTAGAGAGAACCCACAACAAGGTTTCCCTTCGGCTTCCCTCAAAATCAGCGCACCCTCGAATGAAAAAAAACATGCGCGTCACATCGTGCCACACATCAGGAGCCTGGTTCCCTTTCAGTCCGCTTCCGCACTGTGGCTTTGGTCGGAGGTTTTTGAGAAAATCACATAAAATCACGCTTGAATCCTCAACCTGCTGTTTTTGTCCAAAAGATGGGACCCCCGTTTTAGTTTCACTTGGCTTCCGGACAGAGGAAACACCCAGCTCGGGCTTAGGTGCATCACAGCTGGGCGCTTCGTCCTCAAAAGCGGCCGTTGACCATTGAGGAGCCGATGGGATGGGGTGACGGATGGTGACGGGATGGGAGCAGCTCGCTGTCTGATTTCAGTCCCCCGGCGTTGCTCTGGGCACGCCAGACCTGTGAAGCCGGAGCAAATCTTCTCTTGGTCCAACCTCAGGTACTTGAACCCCTGTTTTATCCTTTCCAACCCTTTCCAACAAAATTTGTTTTTTTTCAAAGGCTCCTGGGAGCCTGGCCGAAAACCAGGCCTTTCTGGTCTCCGGGAGTTCTGGACATGGTGCGAGTTCGGTTCCTTGAGGCGGCGGAGCAGCACTGCCGCAAGTTGCTGGAGGTGGCAAAGGCCCTATGGTCCAAGGGCGAGAAGGCGCGCGGCGTCTCTCGTCTTAGATGGGTACATCTGGATACATCCCAGGGTGGGCTCGGTACAAATGGCGAACCTTGAAAGAAACGGGCACCATCTCTTTTTCTACCAGGGTCACTGGGAACAGGGAGTGGGGTGGTTTTCCCTGAGAAAGGGCCAGGGAGTGTTCTTGCAGTCAGCCATAGCACGTGGTGCTTGAGAAAGGGACATGAGCCACGAAATTTCTGAAGAATGAACTGGAAAGCGTTCTGATTGCCTTCTCTGCTCCCCTGTGTTTTGCTGCATGCCTTATTTTTGTGGCTCTACTGGGGAGCGCCGGGGTTTGCAGGAGGTTGCCGCACCTGAAATTCACCGAGGTCTCAATCCGAACTCCCGCGCTAGAAGAAATGTGCCATGTCAGGTTCGTACGATGTCCACTCAAGGAGGTTGCGCAACCCACCGTTCCCTGGGGAATTTGGAAGGAAGCAATTTTCTTGCTTTCGGAGAAAGGATCGCTTGCACTGTGAACAATAAGCGGAATCAATCATACTACCAGTCGAAGTCAGGAGAGAACCAAACACATATTCCGCTGCCATTGCCATTGTGCTCACGGAATGTGGAATATCGTTTTCGCTGCCAGGCGATGGCTGCCGTGTCGAGGCGAGGAGGCTTGCAGGCGCGAGGCACATTGCTTTCCTGCGCCGGCTTTGCTTTTTTTGGTTTATGTATGTGTTCGCGTTGGTGCTTTGTGTCTTCCGGCTTTCACTTGTTCAGTGGCTGGCCAAACTTCCGCTTTAGCCTCATGTTTCCTTCCCCCAACAGGTTGCTACGTGTTTGGACGCGTACCCAATCACCCAGGTGTCGGCTTCCCCATTTTTTTCGAACAACTTTTGGATTCCCCATGAGTGCTGTTCGCCCTTTCTGTGCCTGTCGTCATTCGGGCGCCGGGCGACATGGGCTCGACACAAAGCAGGCATCAAGGAAAGCTGTGTTCCTTCCTTCCAGTGGCGGGCATTGATTTCTGCCGGCATACGGCATACTGCCATGGGCTTGCTTCCACAAACAGCACTTATGGACGCCTTCATGAAACAAGTAGGTCCTAACCTTGGCCATGGGTATTCTATTGAGTCCCACGTCCATCTGGCCACGGGTCAAAACCCCGTACCCCCAGTGAACATCCCAATCCCCGCTAAAATAGACTCAAATGGGCGGTGAATTCACCTATCCCAGAATGGGATCGCATTGGTTGTGACCCACAGCCACATGAAGCACCGTCAAAATTACTTCTGTTGAGTTTAGTATTCGTCGTTTCGTTGATATTGTGAAAATGCACAAAACCATGGCAAACGATAGGGGACTCTCAAAAAAACGATACCCCTGGAAAACGATGGACATGCTGGAAAACGATAGGGGACTCTCAAAGTACGTAGCGAAACGGCCGTAAGTAAGTAATTTTGACCGTGCCTCACATGGGAAACCAAGCGAAACGATCCTAAGCCGAAGGTCACCAGACCCTTCTTCCCTGTTTGGGGCATAAGGCTGGAAGCAACTCTGAGTCACCCGAAACAGCCGCTGGCGCATCGCGACATCTGGAGAGGTGCTGAAGGAGCTGCTGCGCCGCCACGCTCCGGACGAGGAGGTGAAGATCGCAGCCCGGGACCGGGACCCGCGCGCGCATAGGCGACGCGACGGCTCCGATGGTTCACTGAAACTTGGTGGCTCCCAACCATCCGGTCCCTTAGCATTTTAGCTTTTTAGTGTGTGGGGGTTTTCCGTTTAGCCAACAAAAAGTTAAATTCTTAGCGGGGGATCTGAGGACAGCTCTGAAAAGGGGGAGGACTTTGAAGACGGGCTGTGACGTGCTTGAAAGGCAAGACACCACGAGATCGGAATGATGTTTCCCAACACTGGCTCCCTGCTTTCGACAGTCTTTCCCAGCAGGGGCTATGTTTTTATGGGGGGTTGATACCGCACGAGTTCAGGTCGGTGATTCATGTTGATTCGCAGTGTCCCTTGCGAATGGGAGGACAACCGCAAGGGCAAACAACCTCCATTCCCCAGGACGCTTTTCCTAAACCCCAACAGCGGCTCGCCCTGTTCTCGCCTGCTATTGGGTTGGATCTTTAGACTTTAACTTTTGGGGAAATCAAAGGGTTTTCCACTAAACCCACAAACAGTGAAAACCATTTTGCAGAGGGGTCAACAGCAACAAAGATGTTTGCCAAGGTCTTTTCAGGCCATTGCAGCTGCGTGGTCTCCAAGACGGGGGAAGTCCGCGTGGAGCCGGCCGAGGATGGGGTGGTGGTTCTTCTCCGTTGGCGTTCTCGTCAAAGGGGAGCTGAATGGACGTGTTTAGGTCCACGGTCCAGGCCCCTTCATATGGATTTGGGTCAAAATTACACCACCAGGGGACCGCAGGTTTTAGTCCATGTTTCCATTTACCAGGGTTGCGTTTTTGGGTACCTATTTTTGACCCACTGCCATATGACCCTGTGTGGTTAGGCACAGGGCTCAAAAGCCAAACTGATGTTACGGGAAGCGCTCAACTACCCACCCCGGCGGGGTGATTGACTGAACAATGGAAAGGACAATGGTTCTTGCTGTCACCTAGATCCCGCTGCCGCGTCGTTTGCCTTTGTGGTTGCCGAGACTTTGAGAGGCACTGCGGCGATTCAACGACGTGAAGCAAGCTGAGGCCGGGTGGTCTTCCGAGAAATTCCCCTGATTGAATTGAGGTCTATGGGGGTATGAACCCCTCGATAAGGCCTTTTTGAGGGATTATCCTGGGCTTATCTTGGCATGGATCCCCCCCCAAATAGAACCTCCCCATGCAGAGCGCCTGATTGAAGCGTGCTTACTATTAGAGAACTTATGTTTTGCATTGACCCACAGGCACTCAGCGGAAACGAAAGAAGGGACACCCACCACTTTGTGGGTTCCACTAATTGGAGACAACCCCGCAACTCTTTTTGATCCATTGTCTTGCTCCTCATTGTGAACCCGATCGGTTCTAGATGCTGGTCAAATTCAACCCTGGATGATTCTCGTTAGGGAACCAACCACCTTGAGGCTGTGTTGGAGGATTTGGAGTCAGGCACCAAAGTAGTGCGGATGGTTAGGGAACCCAGAAAAGTGATCCAACTGACTGACTCTCAGTGGCGATTTCTTGCGGTGCCGTCTTGAGCTTGTTCCCTCCCATGAATGGGGTCTGGAGCTGCCATCAGACGAATTGCCACTTTTCCCTTTTGGGTTTTCGTAATTTCGCCGGGTGTGGCAGGCAAGTTTCCCCCCCCCTCTTCCCACCTTTGAAAGCAAATCAACGAGATGAGCAGCAAGGAATAAGTTGAACTTTTTTAGGGCTTGTTCCTTCCGAGTCGGTGGGCAGGTGAGAGTGCTCCTCTTGGACACTGCCTTCGGCAGGGAGGGCTTGTCAGCCCTAGGCCAGGTGATTAAAACGAAACGCAGGGCGTTGTCTTCCGACGTTGGCAGACTGCTTTGCCGCAAACCAGGCAGGGTCTGTGCTGGGGAGCCCACCGGGAGCGTAGGTCCAGGCTGGTAAATCGTAGTTTGGGGAATGAATAGAGCCTTCTCACTGCCTAAAGGGACCAACGGCTATTCCCGCTTACCAGCTTCATCTCCCGTGTCAGGGGCACTCCAAAGAAATCCATGCTGTGTTGCTCATAGCTACAAAGCAAAACCAAAGGTTTGACATTGGTGTGCGGTTGGTTAACTTGGAGCATGTAAGGACTTGTCATGGCGTGGCAAGCAAGGCAGAGTGGAGTGAGTTAAAACATGTTACTTGTTTTCCGAAGCAAACCAACACCTAGAACAAACTCCCCGAACTTCACACGGAGCCCCAAAAAGCCACAATTTGGAGAGAAACCTCCTTCTTGGCGAACCCTTTTGTCTGGTTTGTTGGTGTTTTAGGGACATGATGTTGAGCGAACCTGTTTCAAGTTGATTTCAGATGAAGCCACAGACAGCGGTTTGGTTTCCTTCCCTGAGACAAACCCATATGAGGCCATGGGTCATAACTGTGGCTCCATTTTGGGGCGGATGAACATCCATGTAGCACCTATGTTGATGTTTTCAGGGGTTTTGATCCACAGCCATATCAGTCCCAGCGTGACTCAGGAGTCGGCCAGCTTCATTTGGTGGACGTGCCTGGCAGCTGGGCCGAGTGCCCCGAACGAGATGGACCCGTTTCCAGCGGCCCAGAGATGGTTTTGGAAAGGGAAGTCCACCCCCCCAAAAAAGCAGAAAGCTGCACAAAAACAGTAATCAACCACCGGGGGCAAGTTCTTTCTCGGTTCTGTGGCTTGTCCTTTCTTGGGGTGGGTTCCACCTTGCACCATACATAATTTGAATTATCTAAGTGGTTTTGGGTAGAATCCTGGAATGATGTTGTTTACGACTCAGTTGTCCAGTGGCACCGTCTGCCCTGGGGTGTCCTTTTTGCCCATGGGTTTGGCGCACAGTCAGTCGCCCGTGGCGACGTGTTTCCTTTTGTGGGTGTCACAAGCACATCGACGCGAAACAGGGTATCATGGGGGCACTGCGCCAGCAGCTTCGGATTAATTAATCCGGAAGGCCATACTCATCAGGGGTGCTTGCCCTTTGATTGGGGAGGCAAATACCATGTATGGAAGTCCTTGGATTGGTATGGTCCTCTGCATCAATCCGAAGTCAGCATTACAAGGTTTCCAGTTGAGTCAGCCATGACCATCCTCCGAAAGAGCTTCGCGTTTTCCAGAGGACTATTCTCCCAAATCACAGATTTGTTTGCGAGGCTGAACCTGGAAAGTTGCAAGTTTCCAGCTGCATCTTATCAGAGAATGGACTTGCCCTCCCATCAAACAGTGGAACCCATGGCTTTTGGAGGAAAAGATCCAAGCCAGGGGGGATATCGGACGGCTGGTCCAGGTACAAGCAAACCGTCGGACGAGCGATCCGCTTCGGGGACGTGAAGAAGGGATCTCGCAGCTTGGTAACCTCATTGAAAGACCAGGGCTCTAACGGCCTCACGGCGAACATGTTTTGTTGTTGCTTTTCCGATTAACCGTTACGTTCTCGGCAATGTGTACATCAGTCACATCAAACGGAGCGATATTTCTCTGGGACGCATAAGGAACCCGGATCGCCCGGATCCTCCGGGTTCGGATCCGGAAGAGATTACTTTGCAGATGGGCGTGTTTGCTTCAAGCCTAGCCCGGGAGGTTGCCATGGTCAAGGGTGACACATGCCATTTAAAAGGGAGAAGCCTATGAATGAAGCAGGGTCCCTTGCAGCAGGCTTGATTCCTCCGAGGATATCTGCGCGACATGTTGCTGAATGCGGTCTAAACATGATGTACCAGCATGATGTTTCATGCACGACAAGCGCAAAGTTGTGGAAGACTCTGCTTGGCTTCGCCCGCTAAACTTCCGCTTTGCTTGTTTGATGCTAGCTGTAGCTTCAGTGGTGATCGGACGGACCAGCGCGGCGCGTGGCCGGGCAGTGAGCGGAGGCTTCCGCGTCACGGGATGGATGTTGTTGCCTTTGCACACGCTGATGCTACCTTTAATGGCATCATCTAGCAGTATGCTATGCAGCAACTAGTTGAGTAAAGTGTAAGAAGAGCTGGAGCACGCCTCAATGTTTCTAGACGGTGGCTTTGGATTGGCATCGGCCCTCATAATAGTAGTATTGATCGCTAATTCAACTGTTCCAGCAATCAACATCTCGTCTCTCTTTCCTTGACTACTCACAGCCACTGTCCAGTTGCTGGGGCATATACGCCGGGCTAACCCCCAACTCAGTTGCCCAAGGTGAGTTGACCTTTTCGACCTTTGGCTTTGGCTCTCCCAGTCTGGGCAACGTTTCCCGTTTTGACCACCATGGTGAACTCTTGCGGCCAATGACTTGTTGCAAAAATCCTTGTGGTTGTCCTACATATCCTCAAAAACATTTCCCTACAAACAGGACACGGCCGTGTCATTCCCGGACTTACCTGTTTGCCCTTCTCTGCTGGAATTCCTTGATTTGCCCTTCAACCAGCACACAGTTTGTTTGGCGTGAGCCAAAGGCCAAAGCCCAGGACGGAGCCTGCAAGTGTACCTCTGGGCCGCAAGGCGGTTGGTGGGATGGGCGTTTTGAGGTCAGACTAGACTTCCCGGGAAAAATGTGTTTGGGCTGTTTGTTGTTGAAGGGGCGATGCTTATCCGGACCCCAGGTTGGCTCCCCACAAATGAACTTCCCAAAGTTGTGACCTGTTTTGATATTTGATCCCCCATGAACACTTGTGGCACTTTGAATAGGGCCGCTCTTGTGCTCATGGAAAAGGCAGCGGGTCACCAGGCGCTGAACGCGGCACGGCCTGACAGCCTGAAAGTTGTTGTGAGGGTTTGTTTACTAGAGACGATGCTTTTGAGGCCTGGCTTTGCGTGCTTAACGGCCACACTTGCTTTCGACTGGAAGCTGTCTATATGCATGAAAGCAGATTGGTTCAGGTCAAACCAGGGATTCCTTCAGATGATTGGCTGCTAAAGTCTAGCCCTGGGCCTCGTTTCTTACTCTCTTTTAATTCAAGCATGTCGAAAGTGTCCACCTACAACGGATATGTTTTTGCAAGCTCAACCCACGAAATCCGAATCGAAGAGATACAATTTGACTGGAAGACGTTGCACAGACCCATGGCTGCACTGCCCTGCTCCGATGTAGGCTAGGGTTTTTGAAAGAAGCCCTACTCATGTTTGCCATGGGCAAAACATGTTGAAAGAAGCCGAACAGTGGATGGACAGAATCCTGCACCACCTAAGAAACCCTGGAATGATGATACCCCTGTAAATACAAACAAACTAATGGTTTTTCATGGATTCAAAGTGGTGCGGGATTTCGTGCATCCTTTGCCTAGGAGTGGCAAATAGGGCACTCAACTAATCAGTGAGTCACAAGGTCTTGAGCTACCTTAGCCAGGATTTTTCATCCGCCCATTCAGGGTGACAGGGACAACACCCTGCGCTGAATATCTGGACAAAATTTAGATTCCCCAACAGTGGATTTCACCAATTGTTGCACTGTGTTTTCCTCCCGAAAGCATTGCGAAGAGTTCTTCTGGTAAAATCGCTTGCCTTATCACACAGCCAAACTTGCACCAGCCAACTTGCACCAGCCTTATCACACAGCCAAGCTTACACAAGCCATTTTGCACGAGCCAACTTGCACGAGCCAACTTGCACGAGAACAACTTGCACGAGATATCACAAGACATGTTCCGCGACAGCTCCGGCTCCAAATCTTGCTCGCAGAGATTGCTCATTGAAACTTGACCCGAGCTTGCGCAGCACACTTGTGCGTGGCGCTTGCGTATCGCAACTTGCAGCAAGTTGCGCGGAAGACTTGGGCCGAGCACTTGCGCAAAGCAACCCTTGCAGAGAGCTCGCAACACTGAAGCTTGTCACTCACAGAAGGGCAAACTTTGCAGATATCCGCACTAGCATAAGCGCACGCACGCGCGCAAGCGCACAGAGCTCGCAACACCGAAGCTTATCAGTCACAAAAGGGGCAAACTTTGCAGATATCCGCGCTAGCACACACGCTCTCACACGCACAAGTGTGACACACACACACACACACGCATGTCGGCTTTATTTGCTTTGACTTGCTGTGGCAGTTGTGACGAGTGTTGCACGCAAACAGAAAACACACACACACACACACGCACGCACGCACGCACGCACGCACGCACGCACGCACGCACGCACGCACGCACGCACGCACGCACGCACGCACGCACGCACGCACGCACGCACGCACGCACGCACGCACGCACGCACGCACGCACGCACGCACGCACGCACGCACGCACGCACGCACGCACGCACACGCACGCACGCACGCACGCACGCACGCACGCACGCACGCGCGCGCGCGCACGCGCGCGCGCTGCGCACGCGCACGCACACACACACGCGCGCGCGCGCGCACCCACACCCACACCCACACGCACACGCACACGCACACCGGCACAGACACGGACACAGACACAGACACAGACACAGACACAGACACAGACACACCCACACACACCCACGCGCGCGCGCGAGCGCGCGCATTCATGCACGCGCGCACGCACGCACACAGGCGCGCATGCACGCACACACGCACGCACGCACGCATGCATGCAACACCAACTTTTGAGCAACCACTCCACTGGCAACCCTGCATGTCGGCTTGATTTGCTGGTTTTGCATTCTGCCTTCGGGCCACCCGTGGTTCTAGGTGGGGAAATTTCGAAGGGCTGCAGATACAGCGTTTACCACAACCCCGCAGGCTGCCCAGGGATGAGTCGGCAGATGAGGCGGGCGTGCAAGGCAACAGCTAACAGCCCCCGGCAGCCCCTGGCAAGCCCCCGGCAGTGGCCTCTTCGGGTGGCAGCGTGAGAGGTTCTGTCAAAGACTTGGGGGATTGGGGGGAAGACTCACAGATTGGACCACAAAGATAGGTTTTTTTCCGCAAAAATCTGGGGAGTCGCTGCCTATGTTCGTTTGGGTACTCACAGAATACAAGGGATCAAGGCTCACCAATCACATACTCATACAATCAACGCCAAATTTGGTTTTGTAGTATTGGATTGAGCAAGTCGGGACCCCTCAAAAGGATGGTTTCCCCTTTGCTTCTCCTATAAAGCCACTCCACAGGGTACCTTCAACGAGAACAAACACATCAATATGTTTCCGATTGGGCCTTTAAACATCACCTTTCAGTCAATTTAGATGACTTTCCTCTTGGGAAGGTGTGAACAGCTGAGCAGCGCCAAAAACCCTGACAATACAAAGTAGTAAAGGGGGGTGTCCTATAGAATCCCCGCGAAAGCCAAAACGCAGGCCGCGAAAGCTTGCGAAAGCTTATCGCGAAAGTAACCAAAGAAGGTCCCGCCGCGAAAGACCCGCGAAAGCCTGCATGCTGTGTGACGGTCCGCCGCGGAAGCGTCGCGAAAGCAATTCTAAAGAAACCAAAGCCCGCGAAAGCAAAACATGGGGTCGCGAAAGCATCGCGAAAGGGTCCGCGAAAGCAAGTTTATAGGACCGCTTTTTACACAAGAGTATTTGGCACGGCTCAGCTGGAAATGTAGGGAACCCATGTCGGCCCTCGTCCTTTTTGATAGCTCGCCAGAGGTATTGCTGGCGCAGCTGCGCGACCAAGGCAAGATCCAGCGAGACCCAGCCGGCCTTTCCTTGTTGCTTGCTTCGGGCTTCTGTTTGTTTGGCTTTCTCCTTCCCAAAAAACAGATATGGTGCCTCGTTGCTATATGGGCATGCATGTTTCTGTTGAGGGTTCGAGGGTTCACTTCTTGCGGTGGTTTTCACAGGAGATCGGAGGGAAATCGGCGGTTTCCCAGCCATTTGGAGAATGCATCTCAAGTTCCAAGTCTCATGGCTGACCCCCTCAAAGTGTCCTGTCCCCCTCAAAGCGGCTGACCCCCTGCAAAAAAAAACCACAGGGGGTACCCACCGAGCCGCCGGAGCCGACGGGCCGACCCGCACGAGCCGCACTCACGGCACGAGAGGCGCGGAGCTTTGCGCGGCAGAGGAGGCCTTGGCGGCCTGGAGCATCACGCAGGCCGCCGGAAAACCGAGCCGTGAGGCGGTTTTACCCACGAAATGGTGGTGCTGGGCGATGTGTAAGGTGTCCCCAAAAAAAGGGGGACCCTGAAAATAGAACTGTCGCAGCTCGTAGTGCACGGGGCTTAAGTTGTTTTGCAGGCCTAAACCATTGTAAATCGATGCTGAAGGGGGGGCGTGAGTGGGTGGGGTGGGGGGTGGTGGATCGAGGACTGTTTTGCTGAGCAGCCTATTCCGCGTGGATGGGCGATTGAGCCGTGGCACTTGGCCTCTTTCTGGCTGAAAAACACGTGTTTTGTTGCCAAGGAAATGAAGGGACTCAAGGGGGTGTGACGGGGGAATGCGCGGGAAACGTGCGGAAATGAAGGGACATGAAGGGGCACAAGGGAAAACCGCGGAAGATGAAGGGGACGTGCAGGGGAAATCAAGGGGAAAGGACGGTGAAGTGAGTGCAGGGAAATGCAAGGACATGCAGGGGACACGAAGCGGACATGACAGGACATCAAGGGGAAATGCAAGGCAAATGAAGCGGAACTGAAAAGGCAATGAAGGGGAAAGGAACAAGAAATGAAGGGGAAACGAAGGGATATGAAAGACGGTGAAGGGGAAATGAACGGACAAAGATGCCGAAATATGGGGAGAAGGACAGGGACATGAAGGGGAAATTGAAAGGAAACGACGTGGCCATGCCGAGGAAGTACTAGGAAAGGACAGGACATGAAAAGCAAACGAATGGGTAATGAAGGGGAAACCAAGGGGGACACGCATGAAGGGCAACTTAAAAGGACATGCAGGGTTGCAATGTCGGCGGAATGGGCCGGAGGCTCTAATGTTTCTGACCCCCACTCTATACGTAGAGTAAGAACTACTCCAGTGTTGCAGGAGTAAGGTTTGGGAACCGCACCATTGCAAGAGCAAGGCACAGCAGTCTTCGGAGTCTTCGGTGCCGTCCTGCTCATTTTAGCCCAGAAAGTCTCATTTTGCAAAATCCCGTGTTAAGGGTTCATCTGCAAGCGCAGCAACGCAATCTCCCGCACTCGTCAGTAGTCTGTGTCACGCCCTAGTCTTCGGCAGTCTCCCATGATCGGTCATCGTCATGGGACAGTTCCACGCCTATAAATCGAAGAAAAGTCATGTCAACACACACACAAGGTGAGTGAGGTGGGGTGAGGTGAGGTGAAGCTAGGGGAGATCGATGACGTGAGGGCGTGACCTGCCTTGATTTTCTATAATTCAGCACGAGCTGTGAGACAGTATTCTCCATTTTTTGGGGGCAAGCTGTCAGGAGGGCCAGACCGAGCATGTGATGATTCTCGTGCCTTTGCATTCACAGGACTTGATTACATACTCCAAAACCGAGTTTCCTTTGTTTGCGAGCCTTTATTGCGGCATGGTTCGCTTTGGCACTACAAAGCCCCCTGACGACAATGATCTTTGATTGCAGCCTTGACTACCTTGTTTGCTGATTCTGCTGAGCCAACAGAGGTTGCATTGATGTGAAGGCCGGTTATTGTTGATTGCCCCAGCGTGCTCTACCTTCCAGTTTCTCAACGGAAAAAAAAAGCGGAGGCATATTGTGTGGGTGCGCTCACCTATGCTATCAGCATCATTTTTCCGCCTCTTCGGCCCCAGGTGACGCGAACGTGAGCTGAGGGGGTGGGCTCATTTGGGGAGGGGAATGCAGGAATGGCAGCGACTTGCAGTCAACCAACTTTGCAGACTTGCATACCTGCGGCTTCTCGGCGGGTACATTTTTCTGCGTTTTGGTTAAAAACATTGTTTTCCATCGAGACTGCACTTTCTTTTGCGAAACGACAGTTTTGCAAGTTGAGCGTTGCAGGCGGTCGCTTGCCAAATCGAAACGGCAATTTTACCCGTCCAAACGGCAACTTTCCCCGTCCAAACGGCAACTTTTCCCGACCTTTAGACGGGCTTCAAAGTGGCATTTTGTGAAACGGCAGTTTTTTTTGGCAAACGGTGCTTTTTTCGCGAAACTGCAGAAAAATCTGTCTTTTTGCCAAACGGCAAAAAAATGTACCCTCAGGAAGTTGCAGGTATGGTTGTTGTTGGGAAACATTTTACATTTTTGCTTTTTGTGGTTTAGTGGGAAATCCCCGCGGCAGGTGTTCGCCTGCTTTGCCTGTTTTTCTTTGCTTTTTTTCGGAGCGGCGGTCTAGAGAGCGAGGTTTGCTCATCAACACTTAAGAAAAGATAGGTTTGTTATTGTTGACTGATGCCTGAACCCCAGCCAGGGCACATTCCCTCACAGCAGTTCTCCTAACCCTTGAAACATAATACTCCTAACCACGCAACCTGCCAGGGAACACATTTGCTAAGCGCAGCGCACCCCATGTTTGGACTTTTCAGATCTCATGTGTGCCATTCCTGGACAGCAAGAATAGAAATTTCTGCTCAGCATCATGATCACCTGCAGTTATGATATTTGCAAGACTGCATGTTGCTTTTAAAGTAGGCATGTAAGCGACACAGCCACGTGGGGTGAGTGAGTAAGTACATTTTCCGAGACTCAGCACAGTCAGGTCATGTGTAACCAAACACGTATACAAAACTCGCCTAGCAGGAGGGTTTTCTGGATGTGAGACTGCCAGTCTGCGCATGGGCTAGCAGAATCTGCTGGGGACTCCGATAGGGTGGGGGCAAGTGACGCAGCTGTTTTCAAGCATGTTTCCGTGGCTTTTGTCAATTTGTTTAGCAAGAATTGGCCCAAGCATGGTGGACCTAGCGGAAGGCCCCACCCTGTCCAATTCGAGGGGGAAAAAGCGCGTGCGGCCGAAGACTTGGAGAAGGATGTGCAACGCAGTCCAGAGGTTCGCCCTGTTTTTGTGGTGGGTTTCCTTTTGCGAGCCAATTCCACCACCAACAAGAAGTGGAAAATCTGCTTTCCCCAACTCCACTGGTTGGTGCAAGAGCTGGGAAGTTGCCCATGGATGTGCTGTGAAAACCTGGGCTCGCAGCTCAGTTTGGATTATGAAAGAATAAACTAGTGAAAGTATTGGAGCTTGCAGCCGCCCACCCACCCACCAGCACGCACGCACACACACATACACATCCCGGCACGTGCATTCACACCTGCGAACCAGTTGGCGAACTGCCGGCCAGCCAGCCACCCGGCCGTTACCAGCCAGCCAGCCAACTTCACCCACCAGCCAGTCAGACACCAATCAGACAGCCAGTCAGACAGCCAACCAGCCAGCCAGCCAGTCAGACAGCCAACCAGCCAACCAGCTTTACGACTTGCCAACTTGCCATTTGGCAAGGTTTTGTCTGGCCAAGTGCCCCTTTGGAGAGCCGATGGCAGATTGCCTGCCTTGAGATGGGGGATGGAGGCCGCTTCTTCACACACGGCTCGAACAAGTTGGAAGCATTGCTTAAACATCCTCAATTGGCTGTTCTTTATCAGGGAGACTTCCAGACGCTGGTCGCCGGTCCGTAAGGTTTCCTGACCGGAACGACCAAGCTCCATAGCATAGTGACGAATCACATGCTTCTGTGTGGAGTTGCGCAAAGATCATGCTTTTTCAATCAATCTCAAACTCGATGTCTAAGCAGCATCTGATTGATATGTGTCAACGTATTCACGTTTGATTTCCAACTTCATTTCATTTGTCGGCGTGACGACGGCGCCTCCTTTGATGCCGTAAAGAAAAAGCCGGCAATCAGTTACATCGTGAATTCCTCAAGCTTCCGTTTGGTCTAAGTGTGCGGCTTGGTTGTTGTTGAACACGCCTCCTCTGTGTAGTAGAAACGTGTGCAACTGGTTGATGATGAGTTTGCTGGGGTGTTGCGTTTGTATGGTGTCTTCACGTGTTTGTTGCTTGTTGTTTTTCCGCTCCTTGCCTCCTTGATCAGTTTGCTTCCACTGCCGGAGGTGATGCCGCGGCCGAGGGCGATTGCATGAAAGAAGTGGTGTACTCCTTGCTGAGTGCCAAGGCTACAGCCTCTTCCCAGATGCAAGTGGCGATCAACTCTTCGCTGAGACTCTGCTGCGTCTGAACTCCCCCAGCAAAAGACCAGATCATTGAAGCCTACCTTGTCACCAGGGATTTCAAATTTCTGAAAGGGCCTCCAAAATGGTTGATGTCCTTTTGGTGTCCCTTTACATACCAACAACAAACAAATCCACCATTTAGAGAAATGTATCCTTGTTTCTATTTTGAGTCATGGTCCCCAAGACCAACGACTTTGCAAGTCTTTTCCTGATACTTCAAGCGAGTTTTGATTACCACGACTTACCTTGGCTTTGCAAAAGTCCGATGTTCATACGCTGCGCCTTTGGTTTGCACCCAGTTCCAACATGTGTTGCCTTGTTTTAGCATACCATACCGGCATGGTTGATTGCTCTGAATCTTGGAACAACATGCCGGCATGGCTTCCTAGAATATCCCAAGCACGTGCAATGCGCGTGTCGCACTTTGATGCCTTTGATGCGACCAAGGATTCAGATGGCCAAGACGAACTTTCCGTTTGTGACGGCCGCTATCTTTTCAGCAGTTGAGAATCAGAAGGCATCTGAACAGCATAAGCTATTTGGAAGCACTTTGACTGGCTGAGGCTGCGCAAGCAGGAATGCAGTTCTGCAATGTGTCCAGACGGATATTTTTTGGTTGTCCAGACGCAACTGGTTTCCACCCAGAGCGGAGCCACATGCATTGCTTTGTGTTGATACAGTCAGCCTGTAGCGCTTGCATGCAAACTTGTCTGATTGCTTTGTCCACAGCCAGGAGACGTTTTGGGAAGCCTTGATTGAGCCGTGCATTTCCTGGCTTTGAAAAGAAATTGCATGCTACACCATGTCTCACTGAGACCCTGCAGTGACACTCGTTATGAGTGTCTCCAGAATGGGATGTGGAACGCCTTGAATGGTTGCTTTATCGTGGCTTCACGTCAAATCAGCACCAAAAGTGTACCGAGCCTTAAAACCAAACATGTCCAAATTGACGGTTGGCCTGTTGATCCCTCGGAAAACGTGGTGCTTCTGAGGGGGAGCACGGGGCCCTCACTTACTTGGTGGCTGGGCTGACCCCCGCAAGATGCCTCGGGATTCAACTTGTTTCTTGTTCGACTTATGCAGCTGGCTGGGGGTCAAGCGACAACTCAGAGCAAATTCGAAGCACGTGTCCACGCATAAGCCGAAGCCCTAAACCGATGGACAGGAGGTGAGGATGCGATGTGGGATTCGTTCGGGTTTGCTTGAGGTGACTTAATCACGTTTGTAAGGGGGGCTCGGCCCCAAGAAATGGTTTATCCATGGGTGGATGGTTTGGGCAAGACTGGCTTAATCAATCAGGCATGTTTCGCAGTTGAAGGAAAACCAAAGAAAGTTGTTTTTAAGATACCTGTCTTACCCCTTTTTGTTTAAATAGAAGTGGGTTGACCCAGTATGACGAAGACGGGTCTATGTTGCCACCTTCTAGGGTGTCATGGTTTTGAAGGGTCCTTGAGTCCATAGGTGAATCACCCAATGGTCTCCAGGCTGCACCTTGGTGCCCCTTTTGGTTCCCCGAAGGGTTTCCCTCATCGAAAGGGGAGACCCAGGCTGCAGCTGCTGCGATTGCTGTGCCAAATCCTGGAACTGCAGCGCAGCGAAGCGGTGTCCAGTGAGGGCGTACCTCGAGTATTGGCCAAGAACATGACCAGGCGCGCAACCGGGAAGCCGTACCGCGGGCTGCGGAACCGGAAAAATTCGTCCAATCAGCAATGAAAACTGGAAACTCGATAATTCCCAACAGTCCACTTTGGTTTGCAGGTGAAGAAAGGATTAGTGCGGGCTTCCATCTAACCCACTCAAAGGTTTTTTGTTTTTTTTTTTCTCGCTTTTTTGCCGGGGATCTGAAAAGCGGACAGCCCACTGAATCCAGGCTGAGCCGAGGTCGTCCCATGGGTTTTTCGCCCTTCGCCGCAGGTTCCTCCTGTCCGAGGCCCGGCCCGGCTGGGAGCTGCTGGTGGAGCTCGCGCCCATGCACCCGGACCTGGCACCTCGGGCTGGGTCAATCAGACTCCGCCAAAATGATCTGGACGCAAAAAAGGGGCGGACGAAGCCAGGGTGAGAAAAAGAAATCTCAACTGGAGGATGGACACATTATGTGTCTTATTTGCAGCTGAAAAGGGCGTTGGCTTTTGTAGGGTTTAAGATGGACTCTGCAAAGTAGTCCCTATGTATCATTTCGCCCCTTCCCCCAATGTTGACACTTCACACGCCGCCCCGCGCGCGCGCGGAGGTTTTGGGTGAGCTGCTGGCTAACCTCAGCGGGGAGACGCTTCCGCAGCTGGAAATCCTCGGGGAGGCATGGGCTTTGGATTGAGCGTCCGCAAGCCAGGGGACCCTCGTCCCTATACTTTCCTTTTGAGTGTTTTTTTATTTGAGCTGGCAATATGGATGGACAAGATCTGCTTGGCGCCAGTTGGGATTGGCGGCTTCGCCAGAAATTGTCCGTAGGGGTTCGTTTGTGTTGGGGCTCTATATATGTTCCTTTCTTAATGGCTTCAAATATCACCTTTTCGGCCTATTGAAGGTGAGTTTCCCGCAGGGGGGACGTTTCAGGGACCATATTGGGAAGCCTGCAAGCGGCTTCTTTGGGCGCTCTATTTGACTGTATGAGGTAAGAAACTATTCCTCGCTGACAATATTGCAGACTTGGCTATGTTCAAACCGCATGCTGAAACAAAGGGCCAAAGCATGCGAGAGCGTCAATGTGCATGGTATGCAGAGCGCGAGGACGTACGGGAGTGAGCCCATGTTGTAGTTTGAGGGGTTGTGTTAAGGGCATAGTGCGGCATAGGTATATTTTTGGTTGTGTTGGTAGAAAATTAGATGGCGATTCCTGGTGTACCTGGTGGTTTAATCAACCAACCCATCTATTTCCCCTAAAAGCACGCCCATGGTTAAAGGGAAACCAAAGGACATCCACCCCGGCCAAAGGGAAGCACCCCAGTTCGAGGTGGCCGCAGCCGCCCCGCACAGCCTCCGCGAAAAGCTGGATGAGGCTGGTGTGGATATGGCACCAATGACGATTGTTCAATTTTGCTCGGATGTTAGGACTCTAACCTTTTGCCAAATAATGGGTTTTCCATTAAACCACTAAAAGTTAAACTTTTAGCAGGGGAGCAGAAAGCAACGGAGAAATGGTTGTCCAAAATGGGGTATCCTCCCCTGAAGAATCATGAAAACTGACAGGCGGTTCCATGATCTTTTGTTGGAACCCTGCGGACCCCTTCAAAAACGGACAGGCGCGCCCCGAGATGCCCGCAAGAGTGCCGCAAGAGAAAAGACAACCAGGTCTTGAATATAGCCTGACTAACTGGCCTTTGGCAGCCGAAGAAGGAACACTTTCAAAGGTCAACCTGAGAGTTACACACATCATGATTTGCTCGAGCCGAATGCACGAGAAACTCGGAGAAACTCGAGGTGCTGGCGCGGTGCTTCTCCTTGCTCCAGAACTGTCGGGCCATGGACCAGCGGATGCTGTTGCTCCGAGCCCTGGTTGCGTTCGTTGTCCCATTGGAGACTGTTACAAGTGTGTGTGTGTGTGTGCCAACAAGGGTGGCGCAAACAAATGGTGGCTCTCCTGCGTAACCACAGAGCACACCGGGCAAGCGAGTGTGTATGCGAAAGCTCCTACTGTGGGCCTGGGCTTGCGACGTTTAGGACATCTCACGATCGTGCAGCCAAGGCGTGTGGTGCTCGTTGTGCTGCCTGGCTGACAGAAGGTCGTACTTGATCCCACCAGAGCGCGTTTTAGATGCGGCATGCAGATTGTCAGGCTTAAATTATTAGCTTATTTGATTAATTGTTCGTTGCGAGGAGGTCATTTCAGTTGCAATGTTGCCATTTGAGATCATTTGAGTGGCATGGCTCTGATCGAGCCCCTATCCCTCAAGCAAGATGCAGTAGCACATAATGCACTGAAATCGCCTGAATTGCCTACAAAAACAGGAAACCAGCCCTGACTAATGTTGACCCCATATTAATAAACCTAAGTTTATTGATATGGGGGCTTTCCTGTCCAAAAGTTACTATTCCCCACGAAAACCTGGGACACCCCCATATTGATAAACGGGTTGATTAATATGGGTGAACATTAAGGCACTGCTCCGGCTACATCCAAAGACTACAGTGTGTATGTCAACTTTGAAGTTTGAATCACTTTTGCTATGAACCATGCAGCCTAAGAGGTTCTTGAACTTCACTGACTTCCTTTCAGCTCCATGCAAGTAGGATATAGAATAATAATCCGTTGAGTTTGCCTGGCCTCTCTGCTTGGATGCAATTGTTGCTTGGACACCTCTAAGTGCATGTTTCCAGCAAAAAGTCTCCGCGGGCGTGCGCGTGCCCGAGCATGTACAAGAGATGTTAATGCGAAGCAGAGTGCGAAGGCGAATGCAACCAACCAGCAGCTTAGCACCACTCACCCAAGTAGCCCTCGTTGCAGCTAGTTTTGAAGCTTGCGAATCGTCGAAATGACAAGCGATGCAAAGTAAGGGCCGTGTACCCCAGCGGATGCACACCCAAAGTTGCTCTTGGTTTTCGAGCACAGCCGCTTTGGCTAATTTGCCGGGGTCTCGGGGTGCTATGGTGCACCTACAACTCGAAGTAACCAGGGCCTCACACCCGAGTGTCATCATGGATAAGGAAATCGCCTTCACGGCTCCTTCGTCTCAGGCATTGCAATGGTGAATTGCCTGGCCCGGCATTCCTCGAACCCCTTGGATGCAGGCCCGGGCAAGTGACAGTTCGCTCGTCACTGTGGGAGATCATATGTTTGCCCGTGGGTTATATGCTCCATACAAGGCGACGTGCTGGATTTTGCTGGCTTGCAGGCGAATTCGGAGGATTTGGCGAGGGTTTTAACCAAAACATGTTGGTTTGCTTCCCATGGCGTGCATGTTGATCCTGCGGAGTGACAACTGTGTCGCCTTCAGCGCTTGTCTAAGAAGAGACATGAGTATCTTCCACCCAGACAGTTTTTCAGACTTATACAAATCGCTTCGAGGGTTCCTTCGGAACCTTTCAAGTGGCTGGGTCCGTGGTCGTGGAAAATTGGGTTTGAGCCTCGGCCACTTTCTGTAGGTAATCCCCCAAGTGATACAGCAATCATCAGGATGGGCATCCCACTGTTGCATCCCTGACCGCATTTAAGATGTGTGTGTGTGTGTGTTTGTGTGTTTGTGTGTTGGTTTGTTTTTGATGGTCCCCTTTTTGGCAAACGCCAAAAGGAAAACCATCTTTGGGATGCCCTCCCATATTCAGATCCCAGGCATTCCGGGCTTCTCCCGGCAGTTTGCGGCTGCCGCAGCGCCGCTGCGCGCTGCCAAAGAAAAGGCGGGACTTCGGGAGATACTGCGCATGGACGGAACCCGTTTTGCAACACATCGGAAACCATTGCTCGTTGGCATTTGCGGGGGAATCCTCAGGGTTCCTTGGGTGGTGCAGGATTTCGGCCATCCACAGTAGGAGTGGGTGTGACCTGGTTTTGGAGCTGAAACCCGTTACTTGGAGGGCTGCTTTAGAATCGGAAACCGAACGGAAGCCAACCAGTTGGATCCTTTGTTTTGTTGGTGGTTTAGCAAACATCAGCCTTTGGTTGCCATTTCCAAATGAGTTTCCTCTGGGATGACTCCTGTCTGACCCAAAAAGGCTTGGGTTTGGACTGTGAGACTCATTGAGCAGCAGCAGTAGCCGTAACAGTAGCAATAGCAGTAGTTGTTTCTGATGCGTGTAGGGTGGATTTGAAGGGTCTGGACTCTGGACCGCTTCAAGATTCGCAGTGTAGGCAATGGCCAGGCACCATGTTGAGGTTGATTGCACGGTACACTGGTATTTGGGCCGCAGCTGTGCTCGAGCCCAGTTTGGTGTCAACTAGTATCTCATGTTGCAATTGCGAAGGCTTGGCGGATTGATTTTTAGTGATAGGGCACACTCAAGGTTCAATGTTTCCTGATGAATTTGCAATATCTTACTACAGAATGGGGCGTTGTTTTCATTTCTTTGTCGTTCCTAATTCGCTATGTTGTTGCAGGCTCTTGCAGATTGCAGGAAAGGACTGAGGAGAAGTAGCACAGGCGTCGCATGGAAAATTGCTTCGCATCCACCCATTCTGCTGAATCCGCAGAGTCCGAAGCCATGGTTGCGATGGTAGCCACTTCTCTCATGGAAGCCAGTAACAACAATTCAAGCAGATGCACCCTGTGATGGTTGTTTTAAGAGGAGAAAATAAAGGCTTCCGTGTCAGAAAGAAAAAACCAAGGAGCACTTGGGGGGGGGTGAGGTCAACCACTTTCTTCAAAACCCACAGCCCACGTGTTCTCCGGACCTGAGGGGGACACGACGGGGCGGAAGCCCACGCAAGTGGTGAGCGCCGTCTTCACGCTGCTGATGAGTGCTTGGAGCACCTGGAAGGAGTGGGGCTTGGCCTCGAGTCCGAACTTCCGTCTGGAAGTTCGAAGTCAAGGGAAAGAGAGCATGAAGAATTGCCTGTGGGTCAAAACCAATGGTATCATTTTTGGGTAGATGCACCACCCATTGTAGAACCTATTTTTGTGGGGATTGAGAGGACTCTTTTACTTTCCTTCCATGCTGCGATAAATATTGCAACCTATCAGAGCTTTGCCTCGAATCTTATAGTGTTTTGACAAAGAATCGGTCCGCTTCGTTCCTACTGAAGGTCATCAACCCTCTTCAAACTGCAGCTGAATTTGCAGTCCAGACGAGGTACTCACAGGACTCACCCTTTTTGGCCAACAGGTTTTTCGATATCTTGGTCACGAATCAGGGCAGCTGCAGGCACCCATATTTCATCCGCTTATACAACAGATTTGATTCCTTGTAGTTTGCTGGCTTGGTTTAACAACGCTGGCACGTCCGCATGATGTGGCAGTGCTTGTGAGCGAGGCCCATGTTATGTCAATGTCCAAACCTTCAACCATGCCGAATGTCCCGCGCGACATGCTGAAATGCCTGCGGGTCTCTTTTCTGCGATGGGCAGGTCAGTACAGGTGAGAGCTACGGCTGCTCCTTGCGTTGGGTTGGCTGTCCCACCAGTAGGCCAGTGTTTCAGCTTGCTCTGTTTGTGCCGTTTCCTGCGCGTACCCCAAGCGCTGAACCTGTATTTTTCCCAAGACTTACTTGGCCACTTGGGCAATGCTTCTCCAAATCCAATGTGACTCCACCCGTGTGTAGAGGCAAAGCCTCGAAGGCCCTTGGGGTTCCATGTGCCAGGACATGGCGCTGAGAGTGGCCGCAGTGGACGCGCTGGGCCACTTCAGCTTGGTGATTCCCAAGGAACGGTCTTTCGACTGTCCAAAGAGTGTCACTTGTTGCATGGGGTTAATGACCTGGGTTTGCTGCTTGGTCGGTTGCCACTCGTGAGTCGGTTGGTCGGCTGGTTCGTTGCTGGATTTTGTCCAGTTGGTTCATTGGTGTGGTGGTTTGTTAGCGTGCTGTTGCAATTTGCGTCCTTGATTTGACCTAAGCAACAACAGATTGTGGGAGCGCGGAGCGGCCCCCATGTGCCCCCGTCCTCCTGCAAACTTGATGGCACGGGGAAATCGGAACCGAGGTCCACCAGCTTTCTGGTTTGGCCAGTGCTTGCTTCACCGATGACAGTGCCTTGAGTTGGTTCTTTCGGCATGTGAGATGTCACCGGTTGCACATGCCGAGTAAAAGGGGGGTAAGTCATTTTAGTGAACTCACATCCAGAGGCAATAGTCATGCTTGCATGTACCAAAGCTCTGCAGTGAGCTTCAAGCAGCATACTGGTCTTACCTGACAGCTTGTGTTGACTATGCAATGAGTCAAGTGTTTTTTGCCACACTCTTGTACTGGTTGATATGTGAATGGTGATGTTGCCAACCTTGGCATGTTTAATCTTGCCACTGAGCAGCTGCCGCTGCTGCTTCTGCTACCTGCCAAAGCGAACAGTATCCATTCATGTGATTTTGCAAACCGCTGGTTTTTTGTGCGTGTGCGGTGAGCCACTCTTGATTCACTCCTTCATGGCACTGGGTTGGCTGTTTGGTCTCACTGTGGATACGTTTGATATATGTTTCGGCTTGGACTTTCCAGCGGTCCAATGAAAGATGCCCGGATCGGCTTCTGCTGAACGGCTTTATGTGTCACGTTTGTGTCAGGACCAGTTCCTCACCAACGCTGATGCCTTGTGCCTTGGCGTTCCCGAAGAAGCCCATGAGAGGCATTGCGCATGACCATGAATAAGATGGACCATCGCCGCATACCCTCATAGATACCGGAGGCCCTGTTTTTTTTTTTTTTTTTTTTTGAGGACACTGTTTCAGGTTGGTTTGAAGCTGAACCGACAAGAAATCCACCAATTTGGTGCGTCCCCCTATTTTTACATACCCCCTGGCTGTTTGCTCAGGCTGGATCACATCATCTCCTTGCTGTCCCGGCAGGCCCGGGACAGGTGCCAACGCGCACGACAAGTCAATACAGCCTTGTGACTCAGATCGACTGCTTGAAACTGTGGGCGGCTGTATTTATGCTTGAGTACCCTGTTTGCGGTTGCTTTGAAGATAATTTTAAAGGCAACGCACATGAAAGCAATTGTTTTGGGGGTTTTGGGGTCACCCTGTTTTGACACGTACGCATGTGGGCATTTCGTTGGACGCGAGCCGCAATGGGGTGGTTTCAAATAGAAGTTTCCCGTTGGATTTTGAGACGCCAGATAGAGGTCTGGTCGGCTGAACTGCTGTGCACGGACACTTGCCCAAAGATTGCAGCCGGTCGGTCACTGAAGTTTCTGTGTGGGAATCCGCCTACGTTTCGCACGGTATCACAGAACTTGCCACATCCTGAACCATGACCGGGTTCTTCCCGCTGTTTGTTCTTCCACATGTCTGTGTTTTGTTGTTGAATTATTCTCCTCATGTTTCTGTTTCTTCTGCTCCTTCCTGTGTTGCTTCTTCTTCTTCTTCTTCTTCTTCTTCTTCTTCTTCTTCTTCCTCGTGTTGATTTTTCCCAGGTTGCGAAAGCGCCTCGCAAGGTTTGCAGAAGGGGTTTCTCATCTACGTACGCGGAGCTTCGCGGAAGGCTACGATTCAATCACGAAAACAATAATTTGTAGTTGTCCTTCCCGCGCGGAAGTGAAAACGGACGTCGCGGAAGCGATTTCCTCTTCAAAGCCTCTTGCGGAAGTTCCTTTCATGCCGCGCAAGCTCTGCGGAAGCCTTCGCGGAAGGGATTTGATATTTCTCTTTGGCTGCAACTGGGTTTAGAACACTGCTCAAATGGCCAACCCCAAGAAGGGTTTCCTTTTTGCTGCCTGGGTCACTGGGCAGGGCATCCATAGGCCGAGAGAGCAAGTGTCTCGCAGGCGTCTTTGACATCACCATCAAGCCCCATGCCTCCTTTGGCGCTGATGCGGGGGACTTGTTTGGCCTTGCAGGCGCGGAGATTCGTCAAGAGCTGGTTCCGTGCTCTTCAGGAGCGCATCGTAGATTCCTGGAGCTGTTTGGTGATTTTCCTTGATTCTGGAAACTGCAAGTGTTGGTTTCTCTCGAGTTAGCATTGACTGTACCGGTGTTTGATGCGTTCAGCTTGTCGATCGGACCGCCCAAGTCGTGGGCCGCGGTGCGCTTGCTGTCTGTGAAGCCAGGGTTCAGAAGCACGAACGTTGATGGGCTTGGGCTTGGCTTGACATGGCCATAGTTGTGGATGTAAGCCTCAGCCGTTCTGCGTGCGTGCAGGCAATCGTGGATGCGGAGCGGGAGCTCTTGACCGTTGAGCTGCTCGGAAAAATCGTCCCTTGAAGACCCAACTTTGAGGCCTAAAGCAAGCCACGGGCTGCGGCCAACAACACATGATCACATGTTTCCTGACTTTCACAAAACTGGGCTCTTTTTCAGCAAGCCCCCTTGTGTTTTTGAGTATTCCAGAGGTGGGCCAGGATAGATAAACAACAAGGGAATGGAGGTTTTATGATATTCCCAGATCCCCTATTTAGGGGGATAAACATATGTGTTGTAAATACACATAACATAAATATACACGCTATATAACTCTCAGGACATTAAACCCCCTCTTTCCAGCAATCATAGGACGCCTTGTTTAGGTCGAGGTAGCCTTCCAAAGGCCTGCGCAGTTTGCACTTTCAACCTATAGTTGATGCATCGCTGGACAATGTCCACTTGGCACCACTTGGGATTGTTGATTTACCCCTGTATTCATTTGGGCTTATCTATCGCAACTAGTGCAGGATTTTGTCCATCCATAGTATGCTCCGAATCGAGCAGGCTAGCAAGAAATCTCCGGATATGCGGAACAGTTACCAACGCTGTTTTGTGTGAGCAAATCTGCAAAGGCCGCATTTCATCGTCGGACTTTTGTAAGCACAGAGAGATGAGCCAAAACGAAGCCCAAAAGTCGGGCTCATTTGATCTTCGCAGGACAACCCCAATGTAGAGGTTGTTGGCTTCAGGGAAGCCCTATGGAAAGCTAAGATTGGGATCGCTTTTTGCGTCCCTTGGTGGATGGGCGCGCCACGAACATCTGGAGATCAAGCACGAGCGGAGTGCGATTCGTTTTACCTGCGTCGCCTTTTCCAGGATATAGTTAGGATGCACTTAGCATTTTACAGGCTGGTGACTATAGGCGAAACAAGTAATAGAATCTCACATGGAGGGTCAGTTCATTTTACTTCTAGTTGATTTCGCATATTTGGTCTTCCATTCGAAAGCTTTATTTATATATTTAGGCCCTTTATTCCACTTGATGGAAAACATCCCTAAGTTCAGATGGGTCTTTCTTAAGTTAAAGAAACCCGTTGAAGGGAAACCAAAGGGAAGCCTACTTGTTCAGGCCACTATGATAAAATCTGATTTAGATGAAAGAGAATTGGGATGGCCGGAGATTCTTGAGGTGACGGCCTAGTTTCAATCTGTGGAATCCTGCCTCAGAGACCCTGGAAGGATGATTCCCCTGTAAATGCCTAACAAAACAATGGTTTCAACCATGGCTTCTTGGTTCGAAATCGACTTTGTCCATCCGAATGGATTCGCCAGGAACACGCTGCAGACGCTGCTGGGCTGCCTCTTCGCCTCGGTGGTGTCCGGAGGGCCGCTGCAGGGCCTGCAGCAGGGCCTCAACCCGGAGGCGCTGCAGAGCCAGGCCTGTCGACTCCGAAAAGTCGAAGCGACCAAAAGTCATGCGTTGCTTTGAAGCTTGCATTTGCTTAAGATTTTGTGTGTTTTTTGTTGTTGTTGTTGTTGTTTTTGGTTTCCCCTGTTGGTTTTAAGGGGAATCTATCACTACTGGAATTATGTTCATTTTCTTGCAGGGGACTTAAGCAAATGGAGCGAAGCATTTTTTGGCTGATTTGACGTCTCCTCCAAAATGAGTATTTTGTATAGGCTTGGATTGGTTTGGCTTGCTTTGGATTTGGAATTGAACCCCTGGTTCTTGTAGGTTAATTGGAAGCACAGGTGAAGCTCCAAACCAACTTTACATTTTGAGCCTGACTAGTACCCTGTGAATCCGTCAAGACAATTAGCGGGGGCAAGACAATTTTTACCGTGAAAGTTATTTTTTACCGTGGGCAGTTTTTTTTACCGTTGCCGTTGCCGTTGCCGCGAAAAGTTATTTTTTTAACGGGGAAATTGCCGTGGCTGTTTGCAAGGTGCAGTAGTTTCGCAGCAATTACTTCCAAACTACTGCGAAATTATCTCCAGCGCAGTAGTTTCGCAGTAGTTAGTTCCACACTACTGCCAAACTACTGCGGAAATTGCTCCAGTGCAGTAGTTTCGCAGTAACTACTTCCAAAATTGCCGTTGCCGTTGCCGTTGCCGTTTTTGTTGCCGCGTTTTTTTGCCGTTGCCGTGAAAAGTTAATTTTGCAAGTCAATTAAGAAGTCACTAATTGCCGCGAAACTGGAATTGCCGTGAAAGTTATGTTTTACCGTGGGACTCTCTAATTGTCTTGACGGATTCGTTGGGTATGAACCTGATCTGAAAGTATCATTTTCTTGGCCCTCAGATTTGGACCAAGAAACGGGGGCTTCTTTTTGGGTGGCTTCCAAGCGAAACAACAAAGAAACAACCCTTTTGGGGGGACCTTTTTGACAAATACCCAAGACCCACCTCTCCAGCTTGTGGACTGCAATAATTCTGGGAATAGAGTGTTGGTGGTAAACAGAACGTTAGACTAGTTTCTGCCAATCGCGGAAGATGGAGGCTTTAAGATTCGAATCGCACTTTGTTTCACCTGGAAGTGGACAGGTAGCATCCCCAAATGTCTTGCAAAGCCCTCTTGCCAGCTTCCGCGATGCGAGAAGGGGTGCATTCTGTTGAAAGTTCAGATACGACTGGAACTCCGCAAAGGCCGCAAGTATGTGTGTGATGTGCTGTGTGGCCAAGGGCCTTTTGCGTATGCTCCTCAACTTCGAGGGTTGCTTCCAATTGTAAAGAATATTGGTCTGCAAGGCCTTGGAGCCAACCCTTCCACAGATTTTGCTTGCGGCGCCCTGGCTGACCACAGATTCTGCTCCCGGCGCCCCTTGGAAGGTGCTTTGTACGGGGCTCCAAACTAAACCTGAAGAGGGATTTGGCTGCAACTGGGAGATTGGCTCTGCCCATTTCACGACGAGCTCACCGAAAAGCGAGCTATGATGAAGGCCCTTTGCTTGGTGATTCCCCTTCCGGTGTTCTTTTAGACATGTAGTAGAACGTGTTGATCATGAGGCGGGGGGGCGTTGCGGGCCACATCCTGACACAGGAAAGAGGCCACCAGGCAGAGTGGCTAGCAAGCCATGGACACAGAGGTTCCCATGGCAGTTTTCGTGCAGCGGCTTGGCGCCATAAGCCGTCCAGGTGGAGCTCCTTTGCTGCCTCGACGTCTTGGCGGAAACCTTCGGTCGCGAGAGCTTGGCCTTTCTCCTCCAGAAGGCCGCGGGGCAACACCGACCGCTCGGATGTAGTGGGGTAATGAAAGCTAATTTACAACCATATCCTTGTCCTCTGATCATCAATTATTGTTGGATGTTGTTTGTTTTGTAGGACTTTTATTTTATTACAAATTATGTCTGGAATCTTCTAAGGCTTACATGTACCATCAGATATTGATTGAGCAGATTTTAGTAGGTTCTTTGAAAATAGAGAAATATGTTGTGGATGGTGTTTACGTTATTTTACGTTATCTTCTTTCCATTGGTGCATCATTTGTTGTGTGTGTTTTATATTTCTTCATTTTGGAAGAGCTTATAGCTTATGCTTCATTTTTTGTTATGATCCTAATACTTGGTTTTCAGGAATTATGAGTTACTTCTTCTTAATGAACATCATTTATGGGTTATTTTTACCGAATGGGCGAATGAGTTTGCGCGGAGTTGAGGTAATTACAAACTTATTATCTCCCATTCCATCTTTAATAGAAAGGCTTTGTGGAGGACATCATGTTTACAATCCAACTGAAGAGGTTCTTTGTCTTTCATTTTCTATTTCCATTTCTTCTTCATTTGAGAGACGTGTGGGCCCGCAGCAAGGGAGGTTTCATTAAAAGCCCTGCATCTGGCATTGGGTTGAGCTTTCTCCCTTACTCCCTTTCCCCCTTCCCCGCAATTTCGTAGCGACCGTTTGTTTTCGGTCAGTAACAAGGGCGCCCTTTTCTTTGGGTGTCAACTTTTTGCTACACGGTGGAACTATGTCGGGGGGGAGGGGGGGTTAGGACAGATGTTTTGGACACTCACCTGTATCCTTGCAGTTCTTAGGGTTCTTTGGTTGAACCCGCCCAAGCTGTGGGTTTTTGGCACACACCCGAGGCCAAGGGCAACCGCGAGGAGCGCCTGGCAGCGCTGCTGGTGCTGCGGCAGCTGGCAGGCGAGTTGACGGGAGCGCCCAGCGGCTTGCGGGTTTCGTCAATTTGTGGTTTGGGGGGTCAGGAAGAAAAGCCGATCCATTGATGCATCCACTTTTGTCAAACCTTTGAGTTTGAGGTGAACATGCTATGCTTGGGTCCGACTCATTGAGTCAAGGCGCAGCCCACAAGCATGTTTTCAAGATACCACAACACATGCACATGTTGGACGTAACCCGACATGTTGCATTGTAATGCTGCTCCTCCTCTACACTGTTCCTGTGTTGGAAGGCCTGCTCCTTGTGTTTTCCCTCGATTGGCTGGTTTGAGCTTGACTTTAGTAAATACGGCGGAAGGTTCAAATCTGAAGAAGAGAATGCAGCTCCAGTCCGGCGCGTACTTTGCCTGGGGAAAAACAAGTATTTGCAAGCTGTCTTGTACTGATGGTTCGTTGTTTGGTAACTTGTTTTCAGTGAGGTGTATGATGTTTTGCTCGACAATTCTTAACGCATCGACACGAAGCGGAGTTTGCCCATGGCCCTCCAGCCGCCAGGCCGACCTGCCTTGACCAGCGGAATCGTGGAGGGGGTGCAACAGCCACCTGCAAGCAGTTGGAAGCATGTGGTTGCGGGCAACACAAGCCTTTTCCGCAAAATGCACTGTTAGGCTTTTGTGGTTACACGCAAGTGAATGGCATAAACTAACATTGCCTACTAGAGCATATTGCTGATAGTTATGCAAACATCCAAAACCGCACCAAAGCATGGCTCCTGGGTTTGACACGTACGTCGGGATGCAGTGAAACATGCATCCTGCCACAGAAAGTACCCAAGCCCAAGTACCCAAGTCCCATTCCGACGACCCTGGGATGAACAGCTTGTGGCTTTTGTCGGAAGCAAGTAGTGTAACAAAGGATTCGCAAAGCGGAGGGTCTCTGGACTCTGAATGTATTTCAGGTGCCTTGTGAAAGGCATTTGGCAGCCCACACTCATCGTGCGCCTCGGTTGGCCAGGCATCAAATGTGCTAAAGTCGACAACCTGCGCCGTACTGAAATGGTTGTAGGCCTTCTAATTGCTATGAACGACAAATATGGTGTGAAGATCCAACTAAGGGAACCTTCACCATTGCGCACCGTGATTTTCGACCACGGCGCAAAAATGTGGATGTGTGATTGTGCATGATGAAGCGCCAGTGCCATTGGGTGTTCGCATGTTGAGATGACAAACTTGCCCCGAACATCAACGTGCCAAAGTAAGAGCTGAAGCGTTGGCGTAAGGCTCAGCACGAAGAATCTTGCCGATGCTTTCAAGGTTGCTGGGCAAACATGTGCAACATCATGTTCCTTCTATGTGCCAGTGGTTTCTGCTTGTCAAATAGCATAAGGAGCCTTTGTTTGCAGAGCGTCCAGAAACGCAACGCGCACACAAACACAAGCGTTAATGAGTCGTGGTGATACCACGGATGCTTCAATCAGAAGAAAGGGGCGCTTGACGACCTGCCATGTGCGCTGAAATGAGGACGTTTGATTTCACCTGTTGCCCCTGCAGTAGGTGAAGTTGAATCGCGGCCTGTTCTTATCTTCTAGCTTATGTGATGCAGAGCGTCAATGTGTGATTAGTTGTTTCTAGTGGGATGTTTAAAGTATGTTGTTGTTGTTTTTTAGAGGATCACACAATGTAGTCTCCATTTGTGCTGACATGAACAGTCAGACAACCCCCCCGCTGGACTCGCTTTGCAGTTTGCTTCAAAAAGCACGATGCCAGCCATTTGCAGATGTTTTCTGCACCTTTCCCCAACATGAGCCACAATCAAACCCGGGTAGATGAAGGTTAGTAACGGGCAGTCCCAACCGGAAATAGTTGCGGATATCCGCCTTTCCAATTCTTGAACCATGGTTCTGGGTTCACCATTTGTGTACCAGGTTTTGAGCAAGTGACTCACATGTCTGAAGAGATCCATTGCGCCAGTAGGTCCAGTTCCATGCGCAGCTCAGGTTGCTGTCAGACAGCGACCCAGCTGTCGGTGACATGGCTGAATGAGCAACACCAGCCCGGGGTTCATTCCCAAGATGTGGCTGGTGGAGACGGATTAGAGAAAGGGTTTCTTCCGCTTTTCTGCTTGGTTCAGTTCGTTTCATCTTTCAGCCACATAGTTAAAAAGTTGTTTGGTCAAGCCCAAGAGCTTTTAGGCATAGGCATTGAGGAATCCTGGCGATCCATCTCGTGAAGGCAGATGCCATGGTTCTGAGCTTGTAGCTGTCGTATAGCGCTGCCTTTCGCACGGGTACTTCAGGCACTGATTCCCAAGCCCCAAAGATAAGGGGGTTGATCAAGAGCCCCTTTAGGATGACATTGGTCGGAAAACCACTAAAACAGCGTCTACTTAGGAAAAGTCGTTAATTAGCCATGGTCACTTGGGGGCCCCAAATGGAATATGAATATTGGTCAACCCCCATGTGTCTCTACCCGAGAAGTTTTCGCTGAGGCCTCATGCTGGGTGAGCTTTTGGTGGCCATGGCGCCGGCGCTCGAGGCATCTTGGCGTCATGGTGCGCGGCATGGGGTTGGGTCCTTTTGGGGGGCAGAGTTGCCGTGAAGATAGGGTACCCTGGTAAGTGTTTAAAGATGGGAATTGGAAACTTTGGTGCTATCATGTGCTATCTATATCTGTTTTTTCCTGAAAGCATCGCGAAGGGTTCTTCCGTGCGGAGCCCTTGGACAAGTTACATAGAGCCAAGTTACATAGAGCCAAGTTACATAGAGCCAAGTTACATAGAGCCAAGTTACATAGAGCCAAGTCACATAGAGCCAAGTTACGTAGAGCCAAGTTACATAGAGCCAAGTTACATAGAGCCAAGTTACACAGAGCCAAGTTGCACAGAGCCAAGTTACACAGAGCCAAGTGGCACAGAGCCAAGTGGCACAGAGAAGTGGCACAGAGCCAAGTGGCACAGAGCCAAGTGGCACAGAGCCAAGTGGCGCAGAGCCAAGTGGCACAGAGCCAAGTGGCACAGAGCCACGTGGTACAGAGCCAAGTGGCACAGAGCCAAGTGGCACAGAGCCAAGGTTGGGTAGAGCTTGCGTAGAGCTTCGGCGTAAGCAGCTATGTAAGTTAGTTTAGGTTTCTAAGGCGCCGGGGCGGGAGTTTGATCATCGCTCGGGATTGTGACCCTCTGCGGAGATCCGCGTGGGATGTCAAAAAACTGAGGACTTTTTACGATTTCTGCAAGCCGCACGCGACCTTCTGCGGAGATTCGCATGGTCGAGGTCAAAAGCTGTGGACTTTTTACGATTTCTGCAAGCCGCGTGCGACCCACCCTCTGCGGAGATTCGCGTGGTCGAGGTTCAACAACTGAGGACTTTTTACCGCGCGCGACCCTCTGCAGAGATTCGCGTGGCCGAGGTCAAAAAAATGTGGACTTTTTACGATTTCTGCAAGCCGCGCGCGACCCTCTGCGGAAATTCGCGTGGTCGAGGTTCAAAAGCTGAGGACTTTTTACGATTTCCGCAAACCGCGCGCGACCCTCTGCGGAGATCGTGCGTGTCGAAGCGCTTCTTCTTAGTCTCGGCAAACCCTCTGCGGAGATCTTGCGTGTCGAAGCGGTCTCGCTGTGGCGCCGTGCGTTTTTCTTGCTCGCAAAACGGCCTTTGGAAATTGTCTCGTGGTTTGCGCGCCTCCTTTCGCAATCCCGCGGTCGCGGGTTCGATTCCCGCCTGGCCCGCGGCAGCTCCAGCACGAAAATCGCAGCTTTTAAGTACAAACGTAGTACGCGGAGCGTGCTCCCGCAGCTCCAGCTGGAAAATCGCAACTTTTAAGTACAGCAGCTCCGGCTGGAAAATCGCAGTTTTTAAGTACAGACGTAGTACGCGGAGCGTGCTCCCGCAGCTAAGGCTGGAAACTCGCAACCCTTAAGTACAAACGTAGCGCGGGGTGCGCCCAATTGTCAGCCGTTGTTTCAATCTGTGCTCCCTGGTTGCAGCACTGGTTTTGAGTAGACCCGTTAAAACCAGCCGTGATTATGATTCAACGGAATAAAGTTCCAGATGGGAAAGGTTTACCTTTGCGAATCTGGCAAAAAGGCATCCACACAATTAGGACAGCTTCTGTAGGATGCGTGCCACACCAACAACACTCAAGATGTGATAGTAAAATCGACGTGCCGTATTGCAATGAAGTTGCTCAACTGGCGGCCTAATGTGCGCAGTGAAATCGGCGAAGAGCCTCTTCAAAACAAGATTCACAGGAGCCAAACTTTTGAGCACAGTTCTAGGGGTTGATTCCTCTTCCATTCTTTGCAACCATCGTTATTTTCAAAAACCAGCTGTTTTCCCTGGGTTTTGGTGGTTTTCTAGAAAGAAGGATCCCTGGAAAGAATGGGGAAGCTTCCCTTTGAACAGTGGAAATTTGCACAGTTTACCCATCGCCCCGGCCTTCTTACTTCACTCCGGGATTATTATTGCGTCTCCAAGAATAGGGCTCACCCAAAATCGGGTAGGTGCCTGTTGTCAAGTTATCAACCCAGGTGTCCCCCCTCAATTTGGACCATATCCATTGCGCAAGCAATTCCTAGTGCTCAGGCGAATGCACGGCCGGAGCATGCCGGTGACCCAGCGCCTTCCCTCCTTCACGTTCCGGGCGGCGCAGCACAAGACCTAGGAACGCAGGGGGGCACCCCTGTTTAGTGGTGTTTAAGGGGAAATTCAAAGGGAGCCACCCATTTCGAGGATTTGCTACTTTGAGACAAACACGTAGGCGTAGTTCAGTGTGGTTGAAAAGCGATGGGTTTCACCAGTTTCAGTTGGTCCACGAAAAGAACACCCGGGCCTACCAATGGTCATGCCTCTGATTGGGCGGGTTAGACAACCAGCATTTGGATCCGATTTGTTTGATGCCATGGCCCACAAAAGGACGTTTCATGGCACCTTTCCCACACATCCTGGGCATCGCTTGTGGAGCTTACATAGATGTTTGTTGCTGTTTTTGCGAACAAGGCCCAGGTACATTCACAATATCCTTTGCTTTAGGGCAAGTTTTTTGAGCTTGCTCAGATCCTGGGGTGGTCGAAGTTGCTTTCAGAGTTTCAGCAGCTGTCTTGGAAGCATTGGATATGAGCGGTACTTTACCCTTTCTTGGGGCTTGAAACATGGGCGGGAAGCCCCCAAGGCTCAAACCGCATGACTCGATGATCAAAGCCAGTGTTTGTGAATGCACCCAAATGCTTCCAGGCGACACACGCAGGCCGCTTTGATCAGCTTGATGTTCAGTGCAATTTAGCCAAATTCAGTGACCTATGTTCGGTTATGATGCAAATGTACAAACGCATTCATCATTCAGTTTATTGCCTACAACTCCACCTGTTTCTGGAGCTGGCACTCAAATCCCACACTACATGAGCGTTGGTCCCTTTTTGGGGACACCCGAAAGATGTGCTTGACATTGTTGGGCTCAGCGAATCCAGCCGGATTCGCATGCTAGCCGAACATGCTCCAAGGCTCATGCAGATACGGGATCTGGTTTGTCTCCCGCTGGGGGTAATCGCTCAATGGGTGGCTTCCTTTGTCCCAACCCGGCCCCGAAGCAATTGCCTCCGATAAAGGCACACCAGGGGAGATAGCTTTCCAAGGCCGGCAATCTGGTCGGCTTCGTGATCCGCCTCACAGCAAGGTCGCAGGCCGAAGCCTGTTCTCGGGGGTGGAACTGAGACGTTTGTTCTCGGGGTAGGTTCGGTGATTTTTGGGAGGCGCACTGAGGTTTACAAAGCATGGGGAATCAGTAATTTGTCCACATCCCATTGCAGGTAACATCGTATGTTTGACCTCCACCATGGGCGGTTTCTAAATCCTGGCATGCTTTTAGGATGTTAAGTTATGTGGAATGGAGGCAAAGTGAGGCACATTGAGCTGAGGGAGGTGGAAGCTGTCATAAACGATTTCCAGTTTCTTTCATCCGATTGTCTTGACTATATGGTGAAAACAGCGCACCAAGCACAATTGCCATCCGAGCCCAGCGGATGTGTTGGAATGCAAGAAATGCCGTCCTGCCTACCTTCACCCAGACACCCACGACCTACCGAATACCAAATTACACATATTGCTATACCGTATTGATGTTGAAGTGTCGCTGTTGTAACACTCTCGTGTGTGTGTAAAGATGATCCTTTGATTGACAGGCCTGGGAAGGTCCAACATTCGACTCGAGCTGGTTTAGTTTGTTTTGCTCTCCCCAGTGAGCGCATTGCTTGCCATTTCTTTCGCTTCAAACAGCCGACTTGGTGGCATCAAAGTGCCGTGCCGCGTGTTTCGAAGGCCAGCGAGGCCAGTGACTCCGGCTACATGCCGAAGTTTGTGTCCAAGGCCACGCGAGAAACCCGTGCTGATGGGCACTCTTCCTCAAACAGGAGCGCTGAAAACGGCTTTTCGGTTTGCAGTTGGTGCTGTTTCAATCATCCAGGAAGGTTTCCTTTTGCAAATCATCGGGGGACACCCCCGGATTCCCCTTCAATAAACCACCAGCTAACTTTTAGTTGGCTCTATCCATTGAGGAGCAGATGATATTGCCGGGGTATCGGTGCTTTTGGATGCCCTAGTCTTGCAGATAAGATCAGTTTTCATCCGTCTCTGTCAACTTCCGGCATCAACTTGGCACTGGCTCTCTCGTGCCTGTGAAGTGGCACCTTGGGCAGCAATTCGGCACCAACGTGGCCAAGACAATTCAGAGTTTTGAACGTTGTGATACTTGAGACCCATACATGTTGTGCCCTTCCTTCGGTCCTCAGATTTGAACTTTTTTGGGGGTTACGCTTGAGACCCATTCGTTGTGTTTGTGCTCTTCCTTCGTTGGGGTGTCCTCTGACCTTGATCACGTTTGGTAGGTTCTGCCCCCTTTGTTCTCTTCGGCTTCAAAGAAGCTAGTTTGCCCCTTGTCAATGTTAAAGGCTGAATGTATGCAACACTTGGCCGCAAGGGTTCAGTTCTCGACGTATACATCGGGCATTTCGCTGAGGCTGTTTTAGTTGTTTGTTTTGTTTGTTTGTGTTTTTGTGTTCCGCACCTTGGCCGCTTCCCGTGTTTGACAGGGCTATGCCCACGACGGGCCCAGTGCAGAGGAGGTACGTACCAGGGCCGGGCCTCTCGGGAGGGTGAGGGTGCAACTACTGCTTCTTCCTTTCGCACTTGCCGCATTTGCCACAAAGGGTATGCTGTGGTTTGCACAAGTTCCATTTGCCCTGACTTGTTGTTGATTAGTTGGCTTTGAGTCTCTCTGTTGTGTGCATTGCAGCGTCATTGGCCAATGTGTGGAAAACTAGTATGATGTTAACTTCGGATAGCACCTTAGTCAGAGGGTCATTCCACTACTGAAAGGGGACCTCTGAGTAGTACTGTGGATGGATGAAATCCTGCACCACTTGGAAACCATGGAAAAACCATTGTTCGTTGGTATTTACATGGGAATCATCATTCCAGAGTTTCTTAGGTGGTGCGAAATGGATTTCGTCCATCCACAGTAAGGCTCTCGGGATTCCGAAGCCAGCAGTAACCCAGTGAAAGGATTCATCCCTAGATGCGCTCTTTTCGCACGCTCCGAGGCCGGTTCGGTGCTGGGACAGCTGGCCACTCTAAGGCACACGCCACATGCGATCAGAACCGGAAGCGGGCCTGGCTACGTGCCTTTTGTTTGTATCCTTGCTAACAGTATGCCTAGAGGCCACCCTCAGAACACATGGCAATTGGTTTAGCGTGAAGAAGAGCAGGTGATGTTTTTGGGGTTTGGGCCAGGGGCAGGGAAGTTCAGTCCACTGAAGACACGTCCGGATATGTTGTGCAGTTTTGGAGAAGTCAGGCCCAGCGGCTCACGTTGGAGTGTCGAAAGCTTGTTTTGGCCACGCCTGTGAAAGGAGGATTGGTGTGATTGATTGGATGAGAAGACCAAGGCAAGTTAGTCAAACTCCGGGTTACCTATTTCAGGCTGAGCTGATTGAACCAGGCAAAGGCAGAATAGGTGGCCCGCTTCTTTATGTTCAATGGTAGGGGATGGTTTTCGATTTCATTGACTTCCAGAACTCTTTGCCGGACCGAGTACATTCTTGGTTTGGATTTGGCAGAGTTGAACAGGTCCCCACAGGTCAATATTCCGCTGGGAGTTTTTCGCCTTGCCATGTTGAGGTAGAAACCAAGACCAACTTACGGTCTTCAACCCAGTGAATCCGGCTACCAATAGTCGGACAACATGGTTCCTGTTGCAGATGTTGCATGATGCTTGGGTTGACGGAAGTGGTAAACGGACTCAAAGAGTCAGTCCATCTTTGGAACAGGTCTCCTCGATGGACCACCGTCTCTTGCACAATACACACGCACGCACATCAAAAAGACAAGTTTGGCCGTTTGAACAGATTTGGCTGCCTGCAACAATAGTTGTTTTGTGCTTGTTGTGCATCACAGGTCAATGAAAGCAGACCCGTGGCAATGCCAGTGCAATGCTGCATGCTAAGTGGCCCATGATTTTCCTTTGTTGTTCAAAGTGCTTGAGTATTGGGTTTGAGCGTTGTTGTGTTGCATATAGGAGGGGAATATATCCACGGATGGTTTTCGTTTGTGTTTAGATTGGTAGCAGGAAGCGGTAGTAGAACTAGAATTGGCCCGCGGGGGGGGGGGGGGGGGGCATGAATCAGAAAACAAGTATGTGTTGTTTTGGTTATTGTTTTCTTTTTTACAATAAACATATAAGTGTTGTGTATGATGCAGATGCTTATATAGATATGTCTACCTGTATGTGTATATATATATATACACATACAGACATATACACCTGACAACTTATAATTCTCGGCCAGGCCGCTGGCAAGTGTTTTGTGGCCACTTCTGTCGCTGCCTCAATCCAAGGGTTGGCACTGCTTCAGACTTCTCGTGCTTCACTTTCTGTTTCCCTTCTTTCTTCTAGGGGTACCTTCCCATTCTTCCAGGGATCCTTCTTTTCAGGAAACCATCAAAATCCCAGGGGAAACAGCCGGTTTTTGAGAAGAACGATGGTTGAAGAGAATGGGGAATCAACCCCTAGATTTCAGGTGACTTCCGACACCCCTTTGGCTTTTTGAGGCTCCTTGGAAGTGGGAGGAGGCCATCCATCCACCCACCCACCCACCCACCCGCCCACCCGCCCATCCCTCCATCCCTCCATCCCTCCATCCCTCCATCCGTCCATCCCTCCATCCATCCATCCATCCATCCATCCATCCATCCATCCATCCATCCATCCATCCATCCATCCATCCATCCATCCATCCATCCATCCATCCATCCATCCATCCATCCATCCACACTCATGCAGCTTTTGCTGTTTTTGCCCACTTTGCATCCGCATTGCTAGCCCTT